GTCATTTTAATCCCAGGAGTATTTCCCCTAAAACGAATTTCACTTTATGCCACAAAATATGAAAATAGCTTAGCATCTGTAAGCATCTTTGAAACTGCATACGAGGGCTTTTTGTGATTTCGGTTTTTTTATTGTAAGAAACAACTGACTCCCACAAAAAGTGATGCTTAGGCTGAAAAACCCAGGCCCACGAAAAGTCTTTGTTTCATTAAGGTTTTTCAATAAAATTTGCAAAATGCTTCATTCTCCCTTTCAAATTAACGCGGGCTTTTTTTTGCATATTATCGTCAAGAACCACTTGGTCCACAAGTGAAGAGGTCTTGATGTTTGTAAAACCACTTGCCGGGTCAGTGCTGCTTCTCCTTGACCGCTTCTGTTTGCCTAACTTTCCCTAATCAAGGACTGCCCTTCGCAATCTGATTGCGCTAGCAATAGATTAATATCGCAAAATTGACAAAGTATGATGCAAGGAATTCTTTCGGTCTGCAAGAAAAGTGTGACGCAAGGAATTCTTTTGGTGCTACTACTGCTAGTTTCAATTGCACAAAAGCCCGAACGGACAGTGGAGCTGCTGTCAGTTCCAGTGCCAGTTAGCTTATTTCGAAATTTTTTCAATTTGTTATTATTTCCAAATTTCTAATTGGCATTTTGAAATTTTTTTAAAATTTCGGTCTGTTATGAAATACAGTTTTGAACTTTGCTGTCAAAAGAAACACTTACTGCAATGCAGGAGAGTGGCGGAAGCGAGCAGAATGATGCACCATACAATCATACTTCTTCGAACAATCTGTTCTGATCTTTATCAGTCGCTTTTATAGTAGTTGCTTCTGCACTTGCAGGAAAATCTTTTGAAATAAGTAAACACTTCTTGTGATCGGCAATCGCACGTGGTGCCACACATGTGACCCCGCGCCATCGAAATATTTGTTGCGCAATGGCTAGCTGCTGTCCACCCATTTTTTGGATGGTTTTGATTGTTTGAGTATTTTGGATAGATTTTATGCTTTGGGTTATTTGGATATATTTTAGGTCATAAAATAATGGGTCATTTTTGAGTCAGTTTGGGTGGATTTTGGATCGTGAAATTAGTGGGAATTAAATGGCTTGAGCTGGCTAATAACAGCATCATTTACATGAATCTATATTCTATTACATGTGTTTATCAACAACTGCAAATTTCTTTGCTTTCCAATATATGCAAGGAATACTAAGTATGTAACTTTAAATTTACATACCTGATCCTTATGCGCTTTTGAATTACTCGTACAGGTCGAATCCTCTCAGTGTCGGGGATCTTTTTTTTATCTTACAGTGCACATCGCAGCTTGCTTGAAATTTATGATATTTTAAAAACTATTTGTTAATAATAACTTATTACTAAAAAAAAGCTCACTAGTCATAGGAAAAAATCATAAAAATAGAGTTGTTTTTGCCATTTCGTTTTTTAAAAAAAAACATCATTTTTTATTATTCCCTTTGGAACAGGGGCGCACCTGTCCTCTTTTTCTCCTTTTTTTCGAAGCATAAAATAAAAAAAAAAAAATGCACTTGGAACACACACAGACATAAACACGCACACATAGAGAGGGTCTCGACAATATGCATTTTGTGCAACTGTTGCAGCATAAAACACACAAAAATGCGTGCTGCAAGTTAAGTAAAAGGAGCAAAAATTACTGGGAAAAAAAGCTTATGCTGCACTGGATACACTTACGCTAGTAATCATTGGCACCAATGCCTTCTGTTTCAAAACGATTCAGGATCCAATATATTTGCAGCGTTTCACGCATTCTTTATCTCAATGTATGCGCAATCTAGCGGAACCAGTGGTAGCAGCGGATCGACTACAGGAATTTGGTGCCGCTTATGCAAATGAGGAAGACGTCGACTACGGAGGGATCAGTGCTCACATACCACATAGCTACTGGGATCGACTTTCAGCCGCAATCACCTCAACCGCCAAAGAGTTCCTGGACAAACAGCAATCCAAAGGTTGGCCTGATCAGTTGATGTAGCAGTAGTTTAATCAACTTTTTATGCGTTTTTTGCAGCAATGCAATGCGAAAAACGCATATTGACGAGAGGTTGTCTATGTGTGTGTCTGTCTGTCTGTGTGTGTGCTTGTGTGTGTCTGTGTGTGCGCTGCGCGTTTGTACCGATTTTTCATCTTGAGACCGGCAAAAGCTGCGGGGCTGAAGCTTTGGGGACTTAATCTGCATGCACGTACGGGCCACTATCCCCAAAATGGGCGGTTTTTCCCGCGTGGTACCCCCGTAAGACCCCGCCAAAGTTTTTTACGGGTAAGCTGATAACTCGCGAACACAAAAGCTAGAGAGCTGAAATTTTATGCGAATGTTCCCCGTCCAAGTAGGTATGAACCACAAAAGCTAGAGAGCTGAAATTTTATGCGAATGTTCCCCGTCCAAGTAGGTACTAATGAGAATCCAGCCCCCGCGGTAAATGTGGTACCCGCGCACGAGCCTCCCAAAATTTTTCCCGCGTAAATTCATAACCCGGGGTTCTGAGATTGCGGGCCCCCCAAAGTTTTCCCGCCTAAATTCATAACTCGGGGCTCTGAGATGGTAGAAGGCTGAAATTTTAAGGCAATGTTTCCCGTGCAAGCAGGTGCTAATGAGCTCAAATCCAGCCCCCGGGTAAGTGTGGTACCCGCGTACGAACCCCCAAAAATTTTTCCCGCGTAAATTCATAACTCGGGGTTCTGAGATGCTAGAAGGCTGAAATCTTAGGGTGGTGTTCCCTGTCTAAGTGGGTATTAACGAGTTCAAACCCTGCCCGCGGGTAAGCGCGACACCTAAGTACAGGCCCGTGAAAAGTTCCTTCCGGGTAAGTTAATTACTCTAGAACGTGAGAAACTAGAAGACTGGAATTTTGAGGGGATATTTCCTGACAGTTCTTGCGGCCAGTCTGAAATTCTTTCA